TATAGTCCAGCTTCTTGGATTATTTGCTCAGCATACAGATTGAACAAGTATGGTGAAAGGATACACCCCTGATGCACTCCTTTGCTGATTTTAAAACATGCAGTATCCCCTTGCTTGGTTCAAATGACAACCTAATGGTCTAAGCACAGGTTCCTCATGAGCATAATGAAATGTTCTGGAATTCCCATCCCTCCCAATGTTATCCATAATTTGTTATGATTCACATAGTTACATGCCTTTGCATAGTCAATAAAAGACAAGTAAACATCTTTGTTATTTGCTTTCAGCCAAGACCCATCTGATATCTCTCGTTCCACATCCTCTTCTGAATCCAGCTTGCATTTCTGAACATTCCCTGTCAATTTATTGCTGCAATCATTTTTGAATTGTTGTTGATGTTGTCAGGTGCCGTCGAGTCGTGTCCGACTCATAGCGACCCCATGCACAGCAGAACAAAACACCGCCTGCCCCCGCGCCAGCTACATGATCCCTGCTATACTTGAGCCCCATCATTGTAGCCACCGTGTCAATCCATCTCATTGAAGGCCTTCCCCTCTTTCGTTGACCCTCCACCTTCCCAAGCATGACATTCTTCTCCAGGGAATGGTCCCTTCTGACAACATGACCAAAGTAGGTGAGACAAAGTCTGGCCATTCTCACTTCTAAGGAGCATTTTGGCTGCACTTCCTCCAGGACAGATTTGTTAGTTCTTTTAGCAGTCCATGGTACTTTCAGCATTCTTCGCCAGCACCACAACTCAAAAGCATCAACTCTTCTTCGGTCTTCCTTATTCATTGTCCAGCTCTCACATGCATACGAGGAGACTGAAAATATCATGGCTTGTGTCAGGCGCACCTTAGTCCTCAAGGAGACATCCTTGCTCCTCAGCACTTGAAAGAGCTCCTTCGTGGCCGACCTGCCCAGTGCTACATGTCGTCTAATGTCCTGACTGCTGCTTCTGTTGGCATCGATTGTAGAACTAAGCAATGTGAATTCTTTGACAACCTCTACCTTTTCTCCATTTATTGTGATGCTGCTTATTGGTCCAGATTTTTTTTTAAATTAGTTTCACCAAAATTTTATTATCATGTGGTATTAATGATATTGTTGGTAATTTCCACATTCTGTAGGATCACCTTTCTTAGGAATGGGTATAAATATGGGAAGCCACCACAATATGACAAACTTGACAGACAAGTGGTGATAACCAGGCTGTAGCTGTTAACAATGAGGTACGATGAAGCAGAAGAAGGCCAGAGAATGAATTGATCATGGAATTTAAGCAACATAAGTGAGGGAAGCGAGGACATTAGTGATGAAAGACAGTGAACAGGTGGTAGGGTCAACTGGTTGTAGGCCCTGGGAGGGCCAAAGTATGGCTGGAGGAAGCAGGAAGAAAATTTGTTGTTTTTTTTTAAATTTTTTATTGTGATCATACATTTTGATTCAAGACATTGACTGCAATCCCCACAGCTAACAACTCTCTTCCCACATCCTTCCTGTAGTTACCTCTTTCCTATGTATTCCTAATCCCTGAGTTATCTCCCTGCACAAATATTGCCCTTCTGTTCTTTTTAAGGAGTATATCTGCTTGGTGTAAATGTTCACCCTATATACCTGTCTACTGTTTGGCTGAAAACCATGGGGGTTGAGTTCAATTACAGGCCTGAAGGGTAACTAGGGATCACAGTCTCAAAGAAAACTTGGTTTTCAACTGATACTTATTACAAGATTCCTTGCAATAAGCAGCTTGATCAGAGAGGGGAAAGCATCAAAGTCTAAAATAGAAGCAATGAAAGTATCTGAAAACTGGGAAACTAATGGATTGAGTAAAGATTTTTTAAAAAGGGTAAAGTCATCACAGCTCTGACTTCCTAACTAACTCACTGGCTGTCCTTTCTATTCTCCCTCTAAAGGTTGTAGTAGTTTGAGAGACAGCTATCTAACAGGAATACACTAGTAAGTAGGGAGGCCAAAGAGAGCAAGAGTTGACCTAACAGTGGTAGCAGGTACAGGCCATGATTGCTTGCAATGGCAGGATGTATGTCATTCCAGCTCAACAGACAGTTAAGCAGGGAGTGGATCAGGAAATGGGGTCAGTGTATTTCAGAGAGAGGTATTAGAACTAATAGGGATTCATGAAATAGGAAGGTTTTGGAGTGGCAAAAGCATCTTTTCTCCTTCAAAGGAAAAATTTAACTTTCCCCATGTTGCAATATAGTCTTATTTTCCATGACTGAATATTTTATAAGAAGATATATTATAATGTAGCCATTTCCCTGACACTGGACTGTTGGAGTTCTTGTAACACAATGCCTAAGGCATTTGACTGCTAACCAGAAGGTTTGTGGTTCAAACCCACCAAATGCTGTGGAAGGAACATGGGGGAATCTACTTCCATAAAGATTTACCGCCTCGGAAACCTAACGGGGGCTGCTATAAGTCAGAATTGACTCGATGGCAATGAGTTTGGTTTTTAGTGCGTTACGGACTGTTCTGTTCAATCAAACCTAATTTAAAAAATAACTGCAAATACGGTTTCCATGAACATCATACACAGTCACTCCTTTCCTCTTGATATATTTTCTTAGTATACATTTCCAGAGAGGAGATTATTATAGTGTCAAGGGCAGGAACACTTGAATAACTTGTCAAATTATTTTAGAAAGAGCTATACCAATCTGCACTGTCATCACAATAAAGGTACAAATGTTTCATCATGGACATGTTGTGTATAAAATCCATTAAATGTTTTTCCTACTTTAATAAATAAAAAATGCCTAATTTTAACTTGTATTGCTCTCACAGTGAGGCTAGTAATTTTTTCTAGGCTTATTTGCTGTGACTCATTGTTCCTATCTTCTGTAATTTACTGATAAAGACGTTCTCTTTGTGATCTGTGTCCACTAACAACATATACTGTCTATAGCTAGTTAATATAAAATATCTTTTCTAATCTATTTTCTTCTATTCTTTCTATTTCTCTGAAACTCAAAGGAGGTAAGATTAAGATCATTTATTGAGTTGTCTGTATTGCAAAAGCACCAAAAGTAGAGCAGCATTACCCATTTATTTTGAATCCTTTATTAGTCACTAGGATTCTTACTCTACTTTTAAAACATAACAAAAGGGGTAGTAGGTATAAGGCATTCAAATCACATACTACTGTTACATTGATTACTGCCCCTAAACTCAATTACCCAGACTGAATAAAAACAGAGCACAGTAGTGTGTGTAAAATACAAGTGTTAATAACACTCACCGATATCCTATCTTGGAACTCTGCTGTGGGTACAATGGGAATAGTTCCACCATGCTTTCCAAACTTCCTTTCTAAACTCTCTTGAACAGACACTGTAAAAAGCCAAGAGATCAAGCTAAGATATTGCTAATAAAAAGTATAAGGCAAAGTAGTCTCAAATATTTATAACCCAAAAACTAATACAGAGTTTTAGAAACCTTGACATAAATGTATCAATCCTTTAAAATTCAGTTAAAAAGAAACAAAACACTTAGCCAAATTCCTATGTAAATGCGAATTTAGGTCACAGCTCTGTTTCCATAACACCCATTACCAAGGTTTTTCCTTGGCTCTATTAAAAAGAAAATGCTGAGGGAAAGAAACGGAAACTTCACTCAGATTCTCAGAGTGGGGTAGTAAAAAAAAAAAAAAAAGTAGCTTAGTTGGAGGTTTTATTTCAGCCAGATGAGAAATTCTACGGCTAATTCTGGAGTTTATTCTAATTAAAGAAAAACAAGTATTCTCATCAGAAGACTCAAAAATTTCTCAACACTTAACAGGCCTTTACTAAGTACACCCAGACAAAGAAATACAGAGTGTCAACACTGGAGGTCACATTTTAAAATGATGCTTTTAAATAATATTACTGACTTGTAGATTATATTTTGGGAATATTGGATTCCAGAATAAAAACTTGAATATAAACACATAGGAGAGAGTTAATACATTGAATACTCATAAAGAAATGTGTATTTTTGGTCCAAGCCTCATGAGACAGAATAACATAATTTTCTGTCATGAGACTAAATTTCCAAAGATTAAAAAAGGGACATCTGTCCTCTAAGAATTCTAGCTTTTTTACTGACCCAAAACAATTATTTCTAGAGAACAGGATCATTAGCACTCACTCTATGAAACTAAATTCTCTTTAAGAATACAAAAGGGACACTTGTCCTCTAAGGCGTATGCTTTATCCAGCCTTGTAATCGACCCCAAACAATTGTTTTTGGAGAACAGGATCATCAAACTCACTGAGCAGGTGGTAGTTAGAGTCCCTTTCATATTTGAAGGTCAGACGCCCATAGCTGACATGATTGAGATTCTTCAGCCATTCAAAGTAAGAGACTGTCACTCCTCCAGCATTCAAGTAGAGATCCTACACATAAAAATGTGACAGGAAGACACCAAATAAATCAGAAGACCAAAGCCTTAATAAAAACTTATAATCCACATAAAGTTCCATTTCACTATCACAGCAGATTAAGCCCCAAATTTCCTAAATATATCTTAGATAGTATCACACTTAAAATAATTCAATAAACCTCCTCCCCACCCCATCTAAGCTTTTTTCCTTTTGGAAAAAAAAAAACTTATTGGTTTATTACTCAATGAGCACTTGATCAACTTTGGCTAGAGCCTTTTCTCTAACAAAATAGTTCTCAGACAAAATTGCTTGTCTAACATCCTTTGGATTGGACTTCCAAGGGTAATCTTACCAGAAGATTAACATTCCCCTCACCACTACCCAATGGCAGTCCATTTCAGTTCAATGAAACTTCTTAAATGCTTTCAGAAAATAAGACTCTTCAAAATGCATTCTAAGTCTACCGTGATGTCTAACAAGACTTTTGGTGTAGACCCCATGTATATCTACTGACAAATATAAGCACATGTTCCTCATAAGAGTTTTGCATAAAACAGGGACATTTGAAATGTATAAAGTTAGGAGTCATATGGAAAATGTCAGATTTTAAGTCAGAATAGTGTTTCTATACTTTACATAATTGAATTCTTTGTAGGCTAAAAACATACTCAAGAAAGCCTGAAGTTGGAAGAAAATGTTCAGGCCAAAGTGAAAATTGTCAGACTTAATATACTAACATGTTTCTACTATATTTTCTTAAAATCAAGATAGAGATGGAAAATTCACTACAGTTTGGGAAACTAATAGTCCTTTCTCCCTCCAATTCCTTGCAAAAGACAATTATGATCTGAAATACATATAAAAATCTGACAAACATGAAGACTTACAGGAATTACCATAATGTTCCTCTCCAGGAAAATCTTATCAGCTTCTGGAGTTGTTGGTCCATTGGCACCTTCAGCAATGATCTACAAGAGAGTTATGAACATATAGAATTGCCAATAATATTGCCAAATCGCCTCCACTGAGGGTTTAGTAGGAAATACATGGTGATGGTTGCACAACTCTGTGAATACACTGCAAGGTATTAAAGAGCAATTTAAATGAATCAACTGTATGGTATGTGATTTATACTCTAATAAAGCTCTTAAAGGGAGCTCTGGTAGCATAGTGGCTAAAGCACTTGACTGCTAACCAGAAGGCTGGTGGTTCAAACCCACCAGCCACTCCTCGGAAGGAAGGTTGGGCAATCCTACTTCCGTAGTGATACTGCCTCGGAAACCCAAGGAGGGGTCGCTATGAGTCGGGGCCGACTTGACGGCACATAACAACAACAACAACAACAACAACAAAGCTCTTAAAAAAACCCCAAAACCAAACCCATTGCTGTTGAGTCAATTCTGAGTTATATGAAAAAGAAAACAAAGAGGAAACCCAATGAAAGCCAACATACCAGTCTGTCATATTGTGATGGCTTGTGTGTTGCTGTGATATGAAAGCTATTGCTGTTAAGCTACCATTATTTTAAATGCCAGCAGAGTCAGTCATAGAGGACAAGTTTCAGTGGAGCTTCCAGAATAAGATAGTCTAGGAATGCCTGGTATCTACTTCAAAAATTAGCCAATGAAAACCCTTAAGTCATAACAGAATATTAACTGATAAAGTACTGGGAGATGAGCCCTCTGGGTTGGAAGGCTCAAAATACACAGTGGCTAAAACAAGGGCCTCAAACTTGCCAATGATCATGAAGTAGAGGACTGGGCAATATTCTGTTGTTTTACATAGGGATGCCATGAGTCCACTCTGATTCAATGGCAACTAATGTCATCCCACATTGATAATGCTGAACTTAGTTTCTAGGATGCTTTTACCTTGGCTTTGACTCTGGGTGCATTGGATTTGGTCAACTGCTTCTCACTGGCTGCTGGGATCAATATGTCACAGTCTGCTTCCAAGATGCTTCCTTCATAGGGCTTTGCCTTAGGGAAACCCAGGATTGAGCCATGTTGCTATAAGTGATTAAGAGATCAAAACATGAAATTCATTTATTAAAAGCTCTTTAAGCTACAATTAAAAAAAAAAAAAAAAAAAAGGAGTAGAAATGGATTGAAATAAGACTTGTTTCAACTTTACAAGGTTCATGGTATTCAAACTATTCAGATACTGGATCAGCATACCAATTTGAAGTCTTCCAGTTCCTTTGGATCAATACCATCTGGATTCCATATGCTCCCATCAGATTCTCCAACACCAACACATTTAGCACCAAAGCGATGTAAGTATCTCATAGAGTGCAAGCCCACATTACCAAATCCCTATGAGGAACAATTACATAAGACACAAAAATCAAATCCTAGTACATGGAGTAACAGTCCTATTTTGACCAATATTAATTCATTCTGTTAGTTTAGAGGCAGTTCTTAAAATTCCTTTGCCAAAAAGAAACAATGTACATGGCTTCTCTTCAACAATGAAATTCCACTTCAAGAGTGATAAAACAGAATAATGATAAGGAATCCTGAAAAGATTAAATTAGGTGCAGCTTTCTGGCCTATGAAGAAATGGTCACATTGTCAATCATACCACCCAGGTCCTCAATGCTCAATGACCAGATGTCCTATGTTTAAAAAAAGTTATGCCCCTATTGGGAGGCATGCAAATTCTATTTTAAAGTAACATTCAACTAAATTTAGATTCCTCCAAAGAAAATACAAATTAACACATTAAACACCAATTTAATTTTGAAAAGCTGCATGTTTGAGCTAGTGGGCAAATCTTTTTGTATAGTCTTGATAGTTTTAGAAAATTATGTTAATTAATAAACTTCCTTTTCTGGACACAATTTCAAATTTAAATATTGATCAAAAGAAGTTGGTGACAGTTCTGTATGAATTGATACTTAAGTCAGTTCTAATCACATGAATTATACCAAAATCTTGAACAATATAAAGTGGTATCAACAGTCGAATTCTAATTATGCACTAGATCACCACTAAGTTAAAATAAAGGATTTACTACTCTGAAAATAATGATTCTAAAGTTGATGAGATTCCAAAGAATAAAATTTAAAAATTAAAAATCTAAAAACATTAAAATTTATTTTATGTGTTATCAATTAACAAAACAAAACAAAATACTGCACTGCTGTCAAGTCAATTAGACTCACTGCGACCCCTCTTTGAGTTTTCAAGGCGTTATCTCTATAGAAATAGATTGCCAAATCTTCCTTCCAAGGAGTGGCTGGTGGGTTTGAACCGCGAGCCTTCTCGTTAGCAGTCAAATGCCTTAGACACTACTCCACCATAGCTTAAGAAAATAAAAGTTTTACCTGAACAACAAATGTTTTATCTCCGAATCCTGGTGTCATTCCTAAAATACTCATGTAAGAAGCTTCATTGATAAAGTTTTCAATCCCATGGAAAACACCACGGCCAGTAGCAGAGATACGTCCGTGGATACCACCTTGACTGATGGGTTTGCCAGTAACACAGGCATGTGCATTAATATCCTGCAACAGAAGGTCATTAACCTAAAGTCAACACACATTCATATTTAATTAGAAATATGTTCATTAGGCGTATAAGTGTGTGTGTATTTAAAGAATATTTTCCCCAACAGAGACAAGCCTTTATTTCTCAGCTTCCTGTTCCCAGAAAATAAATAATGGACTATATTTTTTAATAGGAGAAACAAGGAGCAACTAAGTACAAACATCACAAAAGTAGAGGTAATTCAGCTTAAATTACTTTTTTTTTCAACAAACATTCAAGCCTTGCTAAATCAAGCTACACATTCATCCATACATGTCTTCAAATCTACCACAGGACTTGATCACATTACCAAAACATAGTCTTGAACAGGAAGATGTGTTACTATATTCCTGGATGGGAAGATTCACTGTTGTAAAGATATTCTCCTACCAAAGAAATCTAGAAATTTAATAAAATGTCATTAAAAAAAAAAAAAAGAAGAACTTATTTGAATTATAAACAAAAAAAGGTAAATGTAGACAAGGCACAAGGCTGCTGTGCTCATGTGTGTGCAGAGGGTCTCTGGTGGCAGCAGTCAGCTTTGGACAGAGAACTGGGAACAGAACAGGAAGTAGCAGTCTTCACCACCCTTCTTTCTTTGAATTGATGATGGGTACATATAATTGTTTGGAAACAAGTATAATTAGACAAAAGAATGGAAGAGCTTTCCTTCCAAGTTGTCAAATATACCATAAGTTACAGCAATCTGAACAGTATGGAATATACAAATTGGTCAGGAGAACCCATAAAGTCCTATTATACACAGGAGAGCAATATAAAAGGAAGCATTTTACATCAGTGGCTAAAGCATGGACTATTTAGTAAACCTGCTGATGCAATTTGTCACCTCAAACCATGTCCTTACCTCCGAATATACATTCAAGCTAGATGTGTTAAAAAATGACTCAACCTTTATCTGTATGGCTTAAATATTTTCATAATGAGAACTTAAATTTATACTACTTTTGTAATTGCCGACAAAAAAAGCAGTCTAGTAAATAGATTTTCAGAATTAAGTTTCCCCACAGTTTTCTTTCATGAATAATTAACACTTGTAAATACAAAATTGCCAGCTAGTACCAAATGCTTTTAAACAGTGAAAGTGCAAATGGTAGCACTGACAGAAATATTGTCTGAGGTTGGGTATAGTGCCACCTACCAAGCTCACCAGCATACCTAATAGTCTCCAAAAGCCCAGGGGTGAGAACAGCCCTCCCACCAATACCAGCTCTTCCAGGTAGACCTAGAAAACAAAAATAAGGAGCTGCATGGTTCAGGCCCATGTCTGGAAATAAGAAAAAATTAACAAGAACTATTGCTTCCTTACCTTAGGCCTTAATTTTGGATTTCCTATCATTTAACCAAGAAAAGTCTTTTATCAGTATTGCCAAAGGCTTAGCTGGCATCATTTTTAATTGCAGCATAGTTCTACTGCCATGATTGGTGTCACTATGAGTCAGAGTCAGCTTGATGGTAATAGGTATTTATAAATATTTTTGTGCTAAGGGTTGTGTACTGTTCTATGTATATGGTATTATTCATTTAATCCTCATAACTGTAGTATTATTATCCTCATTTTACATATCAAGGCACAGAGAACTTAAGGCAGCTGCCACAAGTCACAGAGCTGGTAAATGAAGAAGCCACGAGTAAAATCCAGTGCATCTGCCTGTACTCCTAGCACACTGCATTAGACCACTTCTACAAAATGACACTGACCTTGAAATGTCTCCCCAACCACCAAACCAAACTCACTGCCAATATGAACTGGGCCCAAGTCATAGCGACCCCTCCTTGGGTTTCCGAGGCAGTATCTCTACAGAAACTACAGAAGTAGATTTCCCATAGTACATCATGAGAGCTCCCTGTTGTTGTTGTTATGTGCCATTGAGTCAGATTCGACTCATAGTGACCCCTCCCTGGGTTTCTGAAGCAGTATCACTACAGAAGTAGATTGCCCAACCTTCCTTCCTAGGAGTGGTTGGTGGGTTTGAACCATCAGCCTTCTGGTTAGCAGTCAAGTGCCTTAGGCACTACACTACCAGAGCTCCTACCAGAGCTCCCTAGGAGGCTGCAAATATCCTTTTTTCCCCTCAGAGGATTACCATTCCTCCTCTTCTCCAAGACCAATCCTTCCACTATGTTAGGTGCTACTGAGTTGGTTCCGACTCACAATGACCTCATATACAACAGAACAAAACACTGCCTGGTCCTGCACCATCCTTATAATCATTCCAATGCTTGAACCCATCATTGCAGCCACTTTATCAATCCACCTCATTGAGGGTCTTCTTTTCCATTGACTCTTTATTTTACCAAGCATGACACCTTTCTCCAGGACTGGTCTCTCCTGGCAATATGACCAAAATACAAGAGGCAAAGTCTCACTATCCTAGTTTCTGAGGAGCATTCTGGCTGTGTTTCCTTCAAGACAGATTTGTTCATTCTTCTGACAGTCCATGGCCCACTCAATATTCTTTGCCAATGCTGTAATTCAAATGTGTCAATTCATCTTTGGTCTTCCTTATTCACTGCCCAGCTTTTACATGCATGAGGTGACTGAAAATACCATGGCTTTGGGTCAGGTGTACCTTAGTCCTCCAAGTGACATCCTTCTACAAGGACCTTTAAGTTAAAAATTCACCAGGCTTTTATTCCATCGGAGGAGTCTGATACCTGTTGCCATACATCTCTCTTGTATCCTTTCACAATAAATCTGTGCCCAGTCACTCACTATGCCAGGCAACAACAAAAACATAAATCTTTCTTTTGGGAAAACAGCCAACTTTCATTTTCTCCTTGCCTCTCTCCAGAGCCACTTTTCTTGAGTAGAGGCTCACTTTATGCCCTACTTCCTTCTCTCAATGCTACTTATCTGCCTGGCTCTAATCTCCCTACCTATGCATTGCTGAATCTGGTCTCTTTTCAGAAACCTGTCCCTCAGCAACCACAGCACTGTGCTCTCAGCACTCCTCTTTTGAAGCTGACTGCATTTCTTTCCTAAACCAAAGACCAAAACCAAACTCACTGCCATTGAGTCAATTCTGACTCAAAGGGACCCTCACTGGGTTTCTACAGCTGTAAATCCCTATGGAAGCAGACTGCCTCGTCTTTCTTCTGCGAAGCAGCTGGTGGGTTTGAACCACTGACCTTTTGGATACCAGCCAAATGTCTTAACCACTGTACCACCAGAGCTTCTTTTTCTTTCGTAGGCCATGCTTAAATCTGTCCATTTCCCTCCAATTTTACTGACACCACTGTATCTCCTCTGTATCTTAGCTCTTTTCTAAACTGAGGGGTCATGGAGGGAAATGTCAGTACCCAATGTTTCTTTCTTCTCCTTCTAGTGTGCAGCAGTATGTCCTGATTTGGTGGGTAATCTCTCTTTGGGGGTCTCACCCCAGCAAACAGAATAGCTTGTAGGAAAAGCTCAATCCATGTTTACTGAATTCATGATTTAAGAATGAAAAATTAGAAGTAAAATAATATGCAAATCAAGATTATTATTAAAGGGGAGGAGAAAAACCCAGTGGTTTTCAAATTCTACACAGTCAGTTGAATTGTCATTTCTTGTAGACAGAGATTCACCATACTCACATAGTGCCCTATGGTGCTGGCATAGGTGTCAGCGATCCAGGACATCTCCCGCTCGCCCGTGCTCATGTCAGGGGCTGGCACATCAATGCCAGGACCTGGGGGCACAGGGAAAGGGCACTGGATCATCTCAAATACAAAGATCCTTGTATTTCTCTGTAATAACAGTCACTGCAATTTTAGATTTTATTTATGCAATTAATTACAGAAATGCTCATTAAATGTTTCACTATGAAACTTATATACGAAGAGCATAGGGGAGAAGAGGACATGATGGAACCTAATAGGAAAAAGAACAAAAGTAAACTTATACACACAAAACATGACACAGTAATTTCTTCCATTGGTATTTACTTACTATATATCTGGAAGTTGGGAGCTCTGGTAGCATAGTGACTAAGACACTTGCCTGCTAACCAGACGGCTGGCGGTTCAAACCCACCAGCCACTCCTCGGAAGGAAGGTTGGGCAATCCTACTTCCATGGTGATACTGCCTCGGAAACCCAAGGAGGGGTCGCTATGAGTCGGGGCCGACTCGACAGCACATAACAACAACAACAACATCTGCAAGTTACTATATACAACAAATATAAGCACTCGGTAGGACTCCTGAGCGTGCAGCCACATGGAAATCAGTTTAGCTTCTCTTGACCTCAATAGCCTAAACTGCAAATGGAGATAACCGTACCACATTGCCCTAGATAAGCAAGACTGCTGCAGTTAAGGAGTACATGTGCATAGATAGTATAGTAACATACCTCAAGAAGTAGAAAAAAAGGGAAGAAAACCACAATGTCAAAGCAAATGTGTCAAACACTCTAATACTTGACCTGTGATAGAACGCTGCTTTGAGCTATTACTCACTTAGTGTACATTAATGTTTTGGGCCTTGGCTATCAATTTCTCAGATCACAGCAAATTTGAAAGTTTAGGATGACAGAGGCACCACTGATAGCACTAATAATGGCCACAGTGAGATCTCTGATAAAAATGTGTAAATCATGCTCACTCAAATCTATAACAACAGGAATACATCAAAATATTCCTATTAAAAACAGTAAAAATAAAAACATAATTGTTCATAACAGTAGACCAACTAAATAAAATATGGTAGAGCTACACAAAGAAATACTATGTAACCATTAAAAACACTGCTATATATCCACATAAATGACTTGGAATGATCACCAAAACATATGTGTGGAATAAGCAGGTTGGATACAGCACGAACAATATATTCTCATTTACATAAAATTCTCTTTCTATACAGATAAGTTGTTGTTAGTTGCCATTGCATCAATTCCAACTCATGGCAAACCAATGTGCCACAGAGCAAAACTGCTCCATAAGGTTTTCTTGGCTGTCATCTTAATGGAAGAATATTGTTAAGCCTTTTCTTGCACTGGTTCAATTCAAACCCCTAACTTTTAGGTTGGCAACAAAGTGCAAACCATTTGTACCATCCAGAGATTTAATATACAGATACATCCATATGTATACATGTATGCAGGGATTTAAAAAGATACGCACAAACTTGTTTACTGTGTTCTTTCTAGGTGTCAGCCTTGTTTATAACTTTGTTTTGTTTCAATTGTGTATTACAAACTTCTGATCTTTATAAAATGAAACCCCAACGTTAAAAATGGTTAAATATTAAGTCTCCCAAAATAAAGTTCCTTCTAAGGGCCATACTTGAGTTCTTTCCATAATTTTTACTTTTTAACCAAGAGAACAAGATTTACTTTTAGATTTACTACATTTCAAGGCCACCACTCTTCTGTCAGTTTGTTGTACTGTGGTGACTTGCATATTTCTGTGAGGCTGGAGGCTACTCTATGAGTATTTCAAACACCAGCCAGGTTACCCATGGTGGACAGGTTTCAGGGGGGCTTCCATATTAAGACAGACTCAGAAGAAGGAAGGGAACATCCACTTCTCAAAAAATTGGCCAGTGAAAACCTTATGAATAGCAGTGAAACACTGTCTGATATATTCCTGGAAAACTTTACAAATAGCTCTGAGATATTGTCCAATATAGTGCCGGAAGATGAGCCCCTCAGGTCAGAAGGCCCTCAAAATACAAGTGGGGAAGAGCTGCCTCTTCAGAGTTCAGCCGACCTTAATGACGTGGATGGAGTAAAGCTTTCGGGACCTCCATTTGCTGTGTGGCATGACTTAAAATGTGAAGAAACAGCTAAAAACATCCATTAATAATTAGAGCATGGAATATACAAATTATGAAATCTAGGAAAATCAGAAGTTGTCAAAAATGAAATGGAACACACAAAGATGGATATCCTAGGCATCAGTGAACTGAAATGCACCGGTTTTGGCCACTTTGAATCAGACAACCATTTGATCTACTATGCCAGGAATGACAAATTGAAGAGGGATGGTGTGGCATTCATAAATAATGTTTCAAAATCTACTCTGAAGTACAGTGCAATCAATGATAGGATAATATCCATACGTCTACAAGGAAGACCAGTTAATACTACTATTATTCAAATTTATGCACCAACAACCAAAGCCAAAGATGAAGAAATTGAAGATATTTACCAACTTCTGCAGTCTGAAATCAACCAAACATGCAATCAAGATGTGTTCATTATCACTGGTGATTGGAAACAAAAAAGAATCCCCAGTGGTTGGAAAATACGGCCTTGGTAATAGAAATGATGCCAGAAATTACATGATAGAATTTTGTAAGACCAATGCAAGAAATGACAATGCAAATACTTTTTCAACAACACAAATGACAGCATGGACTTTACCAGATGGAGTACACAGAAATCAGATCAACAACATCTGTGAAACCAGGCAATAGAGAAGCTCAAAATCTTCAGCCAAAACAAGGCCAGGAGCTGACTGTCAAACAGACCATCAGCTGCTCACATGCAAATTCAAGTTGAAGCTCAAGGCAATTAAAACAAATCCACGAGAGCCAAAATATGACCTTGATTATATTCCTCCTGAATTTAGGGACCATCTGAAGAATAGATTTGATGCACTGAATGCCAATGATTGAAAACCAGAGAAATTGTAGGATGACATCAAGAACATCGTCCATGAAGAAAGCAAAAGGTCTTTAAAGGGACAGGAAAGGAAAAAAAAAAAAAGACAAAAATGGATGTCAGAAGAGAGTATGGAGAGGAGCTAAAAGCAAATGGAAGAAATGACAAGATAAAAGAGCTGAAGTGAAGATTTCAAAGAGCAGCTTTAGAAGACAAAGTCAATTACTATAATCAAACATGCAAAGACCTGGAGTTAGAAAACTAAAAGGGAAGAACACACTTGGCATTTCTCAAGCTGACAGAATTGAAAAAAAAGAAAAAAATCTATGGGCAAAATATCGAATGATGCAGGAAACATCAAAAGAAGATGGAAGGATTACAGAGTCACTGTTGCAAAAAGAATTGGCCAATGTTCATCCATTTCAGGAGGTAGCATATGATCAGGAAGCAACGGTACTGAAGGAAGAAGTTGAAGCTGTGCTGAAGGAATTTGCAAAGAACAAGGCTCCAGGAATTGACGGAATACCCCCTGAGATGGTTCAACAAATGGATGCCACGCTGGAAGCACTCACTTGTTTATGCTAAGACATTTGGAAGACAGTTACCTGGCCAAGTGACTAGAAGAGATCCATATGTGTACCCATTCCAAAGAAAGGTGATCCTACAGAATGTGGAAATTATTGAACAATCATTAATATCATACACATATAAAATCTTGCTGAAGATAATTCAATAATGGTTGCAGCAATATATTGACAGAGAACTTCCAGAAATGCAACCTGGATTCAGAAGGGGATATGGAACGAGGGATATCATTGCTGATGTTAGATGGATCTTGGCTGAAAGCAAAGAATAGCAGAAAAATGTTAATTGTGTTTCACTGACTATGCAAAAGCATTTGATTGTGTGGATCATAAAAAATTGTGAATAACATTGAGAAGAATGAGAATTCCAGAAAACTAGACTGTGTTCATGATGAATCTGTACATAGACCAGGAGGCTGTCGTTTGAACAGAACAAGGGGACACTGCATGGTTTAAAATCAGGAAGGGAGTGTGTCAGGGCTGCATCCTTTCATTGTACTTATTCAATCTATATGCTGAGCAAATAAGCCCAGAAGCTGGACTCTATGAAGAAGTATGTGGCATCAGGATTGGAGGAAGACTCATTAACAACCTGCGATACACAGATGACACAACTTTGCTTGCTGAAAGTGAGGATACTTACTGATGAAGATTAAAGACTACAGTCTGTAGTATGGATTACATCTCAACATAAAAAAAATGAAAATCCTCACAACCAGACCAATAAGCAGTATCACGATAAAAAGAGAAAAGATTCAAGTTGTTAAAGATTTCATATTACTTGGTTCCATAATCAACACCAATGGAAGTAGCAGTGAAGACATCAGACGATGTATTGCACTGGGCAATTCTGCTGCAAAAGACCTCTTTCAAATGCTAAAGAGCAAAGATGACTCTCTGAAAACTAAGGTGTGCCTAACCCAAGCCATGGTATTTTTAATTATCTCATATCCATGTGATAGCTGGACAATGAACAAGGAAGGCTGAAGATAAGTTTATGGTTTTGAGTTGTGGTGTTGGCAAAGAATACTGAAAAGTACCATGGACTGCCAAAAGAACTAACAAATCTGTCCTAGAAGAAGTGCAGCTGAATGCTCCTTGGAAGCAAGAATGGCCAGACTTCATCTCACCTACTTTGGTCATGTTGCTAGAAGGGGTCATTCCCTGGAGAAAGATATCATGCTTGGTAAAGTGGAGCGTCAATGAAAAAGGGGAAAACTCTCAATGAGGTGAACTAATACAGTGGCTGCAACAAGGGGGTCAGATATAGCAAGGATTGTGAGGCTGACACAGGACCAGGCAGTTTTGCTCTGTTGTACATAGGGCCACTATGAGTTGGAGGCCACTCAGTGGCACCTAACAACAACAAAAACAAACATTTCAGGGACCCAGGTCAGAGTTAACTTACTTCTTTGTACAAGCTGTGATGTAACAGATACAAGATTGGCATTAGGCACCAATAAAATGGTCGAAGTTCGCCTTTTGTCTCCTGCCACTGCACAATCTGTAACCTTCCTCCATGCTTTTTCTTGCTGTTGTTAGTTGCTGTTTAGTCTGTCCCATGGCAACCCCATGTGTGCAGAGTAGAAGTAATTCATAGGGTTTTCAAGGCTGTGACCTTTCAGAAGCAGATGGCTAGGTCTGTCTTCTAAGGCTCCTCTGGATGAGTTTAATTGCTAACCTTTCAGTTAGTAGTTGAGAACTTAACCACTCAGTTGACCCTTTTTCTTAGGTACCTTATACATAACTTCCCCAAGCTACAATCACTCTACACTACACTACTACTTGGAAGGATTAAGGCCTGTTCTATTCTTCCCAAACCCATTGCCACCGAGTCTTTTCCAACCAAGGCAGTAATCTTTACAGATCTGTTTTATCTTTCTCCCGCGGAGCAGCTGTTGAGTTTGAAATTTTGACTTTTTGGTTAGCTATCGAGCACTTAATCAGTGTACCACCAGGGCTCCTTGTTGTTCTATTCTTACCTCCTGACAAAAGGAGGTCTCTATTGCTCCCCACTATTAGCTCAACTTGACTGCTAACCAGAAGGCTGGTGGTTCAAACCCACCAGCCACTCCTCGGAAGGAAGGTTGGGCAATCCTACTTCCGTAGTGATACTGCCTCGGAAACCCAAGGAGGGGTCGCTAAGAGTCGGGGTCGACTCGACGGCAAATAACAACAACAACAACATTAGCTCAACAATTCTCATTCCTTCAGAATAATGTCTCTCAGCTATAGATACAACTTTGGCTAATCATACTGCTTTTTTATTAAGGCACAAATGACAAATGGTTCTTAATGCTCCTAGAGATATCTACAAAAATATCATGCTTGTATTCAGCAACATCAAGTGTCAAGTAAACCTGTTTTGTCAAATAACAATTTCAAATGGAGAATGGCTATTGGCTAGCTGGCATATTTGATGTATATAGGTTTAAATCAGAAATGTATAAATGGTAAATTGCTTCTCAAGAACATCAATTAGTCCAGACAAGCCAAAGGTGAAGCAATTCCCCACTACAAAGTGTTGTTGTTAGGCTTATGAGTTTGCTACTCTGTGTAAAAAAAAAACAAGGTAAGGGATGTGGAGAATACAAATAATCCTTGAATTCCCAGGTAAATTTCCAGGTAAATTTTAGAACAGGTCTAAGGCAACAGTCTAGCCTTTTTAAAAGAAGTAACTACAATTAAGAAAGTTAAAATGCCATTACTCAATTTCTTAACAGCAGAAATTAAAACCACATGATCATTTCAACAGATGTAGGAAAAAAAAATTTTTTTCTCTTCATTTTAAATTTCTATTCACTAATTATAATAAAAAAAACCTTAAAAACTAAGACTAGAAGAGTACTTTTGACATGACAAATGGCATCAATGAAAAACTCTTTTAACATTATACTCAATGGTGAAAGACTGAAAGCTTTCTCTTGTAAGATCAGGAACAAGAAAATACGAAGACATCCACTCTTGCCATTTCTATTCAACATTGTACTGGGGGTTCTAGCCAGGGTAATTAGGCAAGAATAAGAAATAAAAGGCATCCAGATTGGAAAGGAAGAAGCAAAACTATCCTTGTTTACAAATGACATGATCTTATACATAGAAAATGCTAAGGAATTCATATACACACAAAAAAAATTAGAGCTAATAAATGAGTTCAAGGTTACAGGATACAAGACTAACATACAAAAATATATTTCTACACACTTGCCAAGAATAATCTGAAAATGAAATTAAGAAAGCAATTTCACGTACAATAGCATCAAAAAGAACACCCAGTGTTCATGGATTGGAAAATAACATTGTTAAGATGGCAACACTCATTAAATTGATCTATAGATTCAATGTAATCCCTGTTAAAATCCCAGCTGCTTTTTTGTCTCCCCCCGGAAATTGAGAAGTTGGTCCTAAATTTACAGTGTCACAGGGCCAGGACACAGGCTCAGGTTTAACGTGAAATCTCAAACTCTCTGTGAAAAGGGATGTCAGAAAACTAATAAATGACATCAATCTCAAAAGTTTGCTCAATTATGTGCTCTGAGGAGACGAGTTCCTTTTGCTTCCTTTCTGTGCTAAAAAGTGTTCTGGGGCCAGAAATTGTATCAAAGGTTAAAAAGGCTTTTGCACACAAGTAAAGCCAAACAACTAGTATTTAAATTCTGACTTCTTTCAGTGTTCCAACAAATCACTTTTTATCCTTTGGAAAAAGAAGGTATTTGTCAAAATAGATAAAATTAACCAGGAGAGACTCCAGATATGGGCAGTAAATACAACTAAATAAAGTCTAAAACCACTAAAGGCTATTAACTATGTTTAAGATTCAGACTAAGAGGAAATACTATGAATATTATAAAATATTATGAAGGTTGATCAGTAGACTGAACATGACTTCAATCCATCAAATCTCAGAACTAGTAGTTATTTCTGTAAGTGTAAACGACACATGGTAGTTAATGTACACTAACTAGTGCTTCCACAGTACAATGACTACACAAATAAAGTTCATAATAGCCAAATGCCTTTTAAATTATGAAAAGACAGACTCATTTTACTAATATTTTAGTGTTATCTTTACTTCTACATATTTATTTATTTCATACTTTTTCCCCTACAAAAGGTGCACATTTTAAAACAAAGATATCTTAAATTCATAGGAACCTGTTAATGGTGAGAGAAATACTTTGTTGTTGTTGTTGTTGTTATGTGCCATCGAGTTGGACTAGGGGATAAAAATACAGGGGCAAGAATGCAGAGAGAAAAGTAGATTTTCTTTCCTATTTCAGCCAGTCTTTTTTCTTTTACCTATGCATAGTTTGCTCTGGTAGCACAGTGACTAAGGCATCTGACTGCTAAGCAGAAGGTTGATGGTTCAAACTAACCAGCTGCTCCATGGAAGCAAGGTTGAGGAATCTACTTTTGTAAAGATTTACTGAGTCAGAAACCCAATGTGGGTTGCTATGAGTTGGAATCAACTCGATGGCAGTGGGTTTTTTTTATTTAATGCACAGTTTAATTTTGTAATTCAAACAAATCAGAACACTTCTAGATCAAGAAAAGAAATACAGAAAGACTTAATTTGCTTGAAAGTGAGAGAAAATTACTAATATTTATACAGCACAGAAGATTCACATTTCTCATAAAATAAGTAAACACAGTTAATAGTAAGATACAAAAACAATCAAACAAAAATTATTACTTCAGAAATTGAGCCTGTTTGGCATTAGTTTTCTCATTGCTTTAAGAACTGATTTTCTATTGTAAAAACCTAAATTATAAAAAAAAAAAAAAAATAAATAAATAAAAAGAATGGAGGTAATGCCAGGCTAGAAATCAACTAGTAACCTGATTGATACCAGCTGATCTCAGGAGAGGGCATGATTCAATCAATCACCTGAAGATCACCCAGTGGCTGATTTTCTAGTCTACTCTCTCCTCCTATCTTTAAAGTGTCACTGTACCTAGCCTATGTTTAGCTGTTTCTTCCTTTAGAAACAAAATGGTCTTCCTATGTGCATACAGAATAACTGCTCAAATAAACTCATGCTTTTAAAAAAAAAAACCTAAAAATTTTTTATGTGAATACTATTTAGTGCCTAAACTATGGCTTTGGTCTTCCTGGCCATCCAACAGAAAAAGTACAACGCTGCCAGGCTAATCAAAACCTCTGCATCTGTATAGGGAGAAGAGGTGGCAGAGAGCCCTCAACAGACAGACTACGTGATCAGAACTGCAATTTTTCTATTAGAGGTGTACCCTAAATAGGTCCAGGTATATTCACCCTATCTATTACAGAATCTAGTTTCTCATAGTAAAGGCAACTCTACTCATGCAGTTATAGAACAAAACACAACCAAACCCACTGTTGCCAAGTCGACCCTAATACATTGTGACCTCTTAGGACACAGTAAACTGCCCTACCGAGTTTCCAAGGCTGTAAATCTTTATGGAAGCAGACTGCCTCATCTTTTTCTCCTGGAGTGCTGATGGGTTTGAACTGCCAACCTTTTGGTTAGCAGCTGACAGTTTTAACCACCACACCACCAGAGCTATACCAGAGCTACTTGTGGTGACTTCATGTGCTATAAAAGCAGGGGTTTAAATTAAGACAATGAATTATTAGGTGTTCCCACTTTAGATGGAAACCTAAATGACAATACATACCAATAAAGCCCTTCTTTGCTAGCTCCATGGTGAATCTCCTTGTGATCTTTTCTAATTCATTGTCCTGTGAAGAAAAACACAAAGTAAGTTTTTTGATGGAAAAATCACTTAAGAAAACAAGTAAGTAATTGCACCACATTTTCTATTTATAAGACATTTTTCATACATCTTTTGTAATCCTCAAAATAATTCATATAGTAGGCATTTCCATTTGAAAGATGAGAAAATGAAGGATCAGAAATTATGTAATATGAACAACAGATTCAGAATTCCAATCCCAGTTTCTGTTCTCTTTGTATTAATTTAGGATGTTATGAGCCATCCTTTGGTGAAATGAGTATGTGGCCTTTTTGTCTTGGTTCTTTGGAAAAAAAGTTTGAGAAAAATTTCCCTAAGTCCGAAGGAGTTTTACCTTGTTTTAGTTTTCTACCACATAGACTCTGTTATTTCTGTTTATGTTGATTGACATTTCCTGGTTAAGCTGTAAACAATTTGGTTTTGATACTTTTTGTCTGGGTCTGGGCTGCAGCCTACCCCATGACTGGTATGTACCTTGTCAACAGACTCTGAAAATGAGGTATCTATAGCCTATTGTGAGGAGCTCTGGTAGCATAGTGCCTAAGGCACTTGACTGCTAACCAGAAGGCTGGTGGTTTAAACCCACCAGCTACTCTTCAGAAGGACGATGGGGCAATCTACTTCTGTAGTGATACTCCCTCAGAAACCCAAGGAGGGGTCGCTATGAGTCAGGTCTGACTTGACGGCACACAACAACAACAACAACATAGCCTACTATAAGGAGCTCTGGTGGCCTAGTGCCTAGGTACTGATAATCATAAGGTTGGTGGTTCAAACCCACCAGCCACTCAGCAGGATGACAGGGCAATTTACTCCTGTAAAGATTTATTGGTTTGGAAACCCAATGTGGGTCACTATGAGTAGGAATTGACTTGATGGCAGTGGATTTTTTTTTTTAATAGCGTACTATGCAAATGGATTTGCCTATGGCCTACTAACATGGAAGTGGTCAGTTGGTCCTGATGGGAGTGTCATGTCTTGAAACTGGCAAAAGAGTTTGCGTATTTAAGCAGCCAGCCCCATAGGTTTTGGAGATGGAACGTAGCAGGAAGTAATAGAAGAAGCAAAAGGATGAAAGCAGAAGGGGAGAGAGACTCAGAGAGGAAGTGAGAAAGAGAGAGACCAAGAGAAGGACGGTGAGACAAGGAACATAGTAACCTAAAAGAGCTCTAATACTGGTCACAGGCTCTAAGACAGTGAGAGGCCAGGAAGGGCCCTGTGCCACAGCCGGCAACAACAGGACTGGAAAGGGCCAAGAGAAGCCTGTGAGGGGACTGAGAGGAACCTATCTGAGGGAGTTAAGTGGAGACCTCTCCTAAGAAGGCTGAAAGGAGCCCTGCAAAGCTGAGAGCAGTGGAGAGTGCTGTCCTACTCTGAAGAAGGGAGACTTCACCTGCATGCGTCCCAATCCTGAGTTGAAATCTGTTATTTCCCTAATAAACCCCATTAACTGTGAGTATGGTCTATGAGTTCTGTGGCATCATTGCAACATACTATTGAACCCAGCACAAAAGTAGAGAGTGACATGGCTGTTATCAGAATTGGGAAAAACGTTGAAGGGTGGAGGTATGATGTTGACCTCTACTTCATAGGACTCAGCTTTGGGTTGATGCTAATTGTGATTCATTCTTCCCCTCTGGAAGTTAGGCAAGGAGGTCTGAAGATGTCATACAACTTTTACACTTCACTGTAGTATATTTTCATTTAAATGGTGAATTTTAGTGAGAAATAAAATCCTAAGTATTTATTATATAATGTTTATATATAGATCACTAATTTGGTACTATATAAAATATAGTAACAACTAGCTTTAATTAAGTTGGAACTGAAAATATAAGAGTTTTACTGGATTATTTATCTATCATTAGGACCTCGAGATCCCAACAGTAACATGGATATAAGTCTCTTAACAATATGAAGATATTAATTATATTTTAATCAACTAAGAAAATGAATAAGTACATTGACGTTAAGCAGGTGACCTTCTTTATGGTAAAACACTCAATGAGTTAATTATTTTTCCATTCCTTTTGAAAAGCAACAGGGACTATGAATCTCACTAGTATGGGGGACTGACAAAAGCCCAGCCATTTCAAGTCCTTTGTAATGTACTGTGTGCTTATTATCAATCTAACACTTACAGTGTAATTCTTGGGATTGATCTTCACACCTGCTTTAGCACCTCCAAATGGCACATCTGAAAGAGAAGGCAGAAAGCTGTCATTCCCTATAAAGCTTAAAAAAATAAAAAGACAGAAAGCATTAAGCAGTATTACAAAAATGTGTGATGCTTTAAGTTTTAATTTCATAAAATTCAAGAAATAAACCCACATTGATCTCTTCCGAAATGCTGTACTTTAAACAAAATTCCAGTGACCAAAGATTTTAAGGCAAGGCAAGCTACAACGTACATTTAATCACTGTTTGCTACTACTACTAAAAACAACATTATAATTGGTTTTCTTCTACTATGATTTAATCTTTTATAAATAGTACAGAAAGGGATTTAAATATATCACCTTTAGATTACAAATAGTTCCTATAAAAAAAAATCTCCACTTGAAAAAAGATGAAATCTTAATTAAGACTAAGTGAAGGGTAAAATAAGCCTTAAAATCTGCAACTTAAAAAAAAAGTTCTGATAAGGTACACTTCCATAACAGCTTAAAAATCACTTTGTATGTGAACATATTTCCTGAGTCTGTTTTTTTTCGGTAACAACAAAGGCAATCACTCACCAACTACCGCACATTTATAGGTCATCAGGGAAGCCAGAGCTTTTACTTCATCTACACTCACATCTGTGCTGTAACGGATACCTGTCAGGGTTTAAAAATAAAAGAGGGGTGAAAAAAAAGTGTATGGTTATTGGAAAAAGGAATTTCTAAAAACTAAGAGACTACAGGTGGAAACTGGACTTCTGATGAATAGACCAGCAGCCAAGGAAACCCTATGAAGCACAGTTCTACTGTGTAACATGGGGTAGTTATGAAGTAAAAACCATTGTGGTAAGTTTATGAAAAGTTACAAATTAAAATGTCCTCACTTTTTACATTTTATACTTTGGGTATTTCTATGAACACCTGAAGGAGCTTATGTGTCGGAACACTATAAAAAGGCAATATAAAAGGCAAAAGGTGTATCAGACACCCAGAGAGTGCTACAGATGAGCACTGGATTTGGTTTTAAATGTTCTGAGAGGTAAGAGAAAAAGACTGGTATGGAAGTCTAGTTTGCTTTCTGCAGAAGATAAGAACTCAAGGACTTAGAGATGACTAGGACAACTGTCTGTAGTCCTTGCCCTTAAGGAACATATAACCCAGTGGGAAACCACAGTAACTATGATTCACAAAACAAAAAATAACTTTTGAATGAATGTTGTATTATTTTTCAAAAAGCAAACGAACTCAGTTTTTCCTTTTGGCTTGAGTGATTTGGCACCAAGGATTCAAGGATTTTGCTTTCTGTTAACATACCAACATGAACAAATGGGTAGTCAATAGGTCAGGCAGATTTGACTCAACTATCAGATGCCTAAATAGCAGTTCTGGTTTCAAATAGGTGTATCCAAAGAGATCCTCACCTATTATGTCCTTCACACACTGTCAGCCACTTTCTACCAGGAGATGAGAAAGCTGAAAAATTCATTTTTCCATCCTGGGGAATAAGCAGTTCCCTTCACCCTTTCTGCAAGGCTGGGAGGTGGACGATTAGGCAGGCAACTCTGCCTTTAGGTATTTTATTTACTTCGGCTCTGGGGATCTTGGTCCATCATTCTCTCAAACATTGCAGTTAAGTCATCTTTCCTCCTCTCTACACCACTGCTTCTCAACTCCAAGGAAGAAGGCCTGAGTGATGTTAACATACTGCTTTGGGCTCCTTGACTATGTGTGAGATGAAGGATATCAGATGAAGTTGTAGTATTTTTCTACCCTCCTCTCTCCCAAAAAATGAGTTCTGGTGGCACAGTACCTAAGGCATTTGCCTGCTAACCAGCAGGTCGGCGGTTCAAATCCACCAGCTGCTCCACAGAAGGAAGATGGGACAATCTACTTCTGTAAAGATTTACTGCCTCAGAAACCCAAAGGGGGTTGCCTTGAATTGTAATTGACTCGATGGCTATGAGTTTGGTTTGGTTCGGTTCTCTCTCAACAGAAATTCAGCTTCCTCCTTCCACAACCTTCACTGAGTCACAGGCAAGTAATGGAAGCCCCAGGGACATCTCTTTTAAAAATAAGTTTTGGGAATGAAAGTTTTTCAGATAGAAAATAGCTCACAGACTAGCAATTTGAGAAAACTTCCTAAGTCAATTTTAAAAGCTGCTTTTTCATATATTTCAGAAAAATATCTATCCAAACATAAATGATATGTTTTAAGAATTTTATTTGTTGCACATATGACCATCGAAAGCAAATGTTGAAGCTGAACACATTTCTTTGGTCTATTGGAAAAATAAGAAAATATCATTATACTTAAGAGAAAGATCGTAAAACAACCTATCTTGCATAACATTCTCAAATTATTTATGGAATAAATGTACTTGTCATTAAAATTTTAGAGTGTGAAATGATAGTCATTTTTCCCAGTATACAGCAGATACCTGCATAGCTTACTCCTCCATTTCATTCAGGTTCTCTGTTCAAAACTTTTTTATTCTGAGAAGCCCTCCCTGACCACCCTGAATAATATGTCCTTCCAAACACAAATCACTTTTTTCCTTATTCTTTTAGAGCCTGTGGAAATAGACCCTAAATTACTTTAATTTAAATTTCTTCCTTTATTAGGGGAAAGGTACTTTCCCTTACCCAGCGCTTTTAACATGGAGGAACTAAAAACTACCTGAAATAGTAGTAATTACAAATCAAAAAGCAAAAGCATTCAAATGACTATAGCAATTTTCTAAACATAAACCAACCAACCAATCAATCAAAACCCCCAAACTGACTGCTGTCCAGTCAACTCTGACTCATAGCAACCCCTCCTTGGGTTTTCCAGGCAGTATCTCTACAGAAGTAGATTGCCCAATCTTCCTTCTGAGGAGTGGCTGGTGGGTTTGAACCGCCAGCCTTCTGACTGGCAGTCAAATGCCTTAGGCACTTTGCCACCAGAGTTCCCTAGACTTTAGAGATTTTCAGACTTAGATGCTGATTAAAACCCAAACCACTCCCGTTGTAAAGATAGTGTCAACAAAATGTTGATTTTATTACAAAAGTCCTAGAGCGATGAATCAGAAATTGCATGCATTCAAAACAAAACCTGTTTCCAATGGATGGAACCCAGAAATTGTAAAGGAAAATTTTCTTTTCCAGCTACACCCATTTAGAAGGCTCAACTGCAAAACACTGAAAAGTAGTTGCACAGATGACTTTGCACATCACAGGCATTTTCTGCAGGAAATGAATTGGGGCAAGGCAGAAGCTCTATGGATAGCAGCAGAAACTATTTAGTGGAATAAGCACTGGACAAGAAAAGGGTAAGGGCAGGGAGGGGGACATAAATTAACATAGGTGTCTATTGCCTAGACTAAAGAAGAAACATGATTTCATTTCAACTTTCCAATTAATCAGTGAAACATAAATAATGTATTTATTTCTTGCAAGATGGCAGGCACAGTAGTACAAGGTTAAAGTGTTAATTCGAAAAATCAAAGAAACCTTGAATTACACCCATAAATCAAATACCCTGTAGCAATACTTGAAACAAAACAAGGTAGAAGTCATCCCACACCCAGGAAGAGCTAGTTGATCTCCCTGCCTCTGGGCTTAGAAATTAAAAATAACCACTAAAAATATGCCACCACTGAAAATCCTTAATCACATTCCAACTAACGGAAATTAAGAGATTTAAATAAGAACCTGACCAAAGAAGGTACTCTCCACTTAATTTGTAAGGTCAGTGGACTGGGAGAATTTTACAATTAGAACACTTGAAGGATGAAATGATGTGACATACTTTATATTCTGAAAGAAGGGAAAAACTAGCATTTTTGTATGTCTACTGAATGTCAAAGAAGCTCTGGTGGTGCAGTACCTAAGGCATTTGACTGCTAACCAGAGGTTGGAGGTTCAAACACCAGCCACTCCACTGAAGGAAATGTACTTCTGTAAAGATTTACTGCCTCAGAAACCCAGTGGGGGTCGGTGAGAGTCAGAATCGACCCAATGGCAGTGGGTTTGGGTTTTTTTTCTTACTGTATTTCAAGAATATTTATTTCGAATAGTCAAAGTCATTCAGTAAAGTCAAATAACGCAAGCCCATCCATTCTGCCGATTCAGACTCCTAGTGACCCTATAGGACAGAGCAGAACTGTCCCACAGGGTTTCCAAGGCTATAAAGTTTACAGAACATATTGCCACAGCTTTCTGCCAAAGACTGGGTAGGATTAGAACTGCTAACTTTGTGATTAGCAGCTGAGTGCTTTAACTACTTGCACCATCTGGTTTCCTTAATATACAAGAAAAACCAGGAAACTTTAAAATGTTTTAAACAAAAGTAAAACAAGAGGAATACTGTTTGCAGTCTAACTATTCTCATGTTTTACGAAAACAAGCCTTTCTCCCTTTTCTATGGGGTCTGAAGGTTAGCTGGAGCAATAGGGATAGAAGGACAGGGACAGAAACCAGAAGGAGCAAAAATTTGGTTGCAGAAATGGAGAAAATTAAATTAGGATTTTCTTGGTATCCTAAATATCTCAGAGCACTCCCTATTTGCCTCCAACACTAGCTCGTGTTTGCAAATTGATCAGCTGTGTCTTTGGATGACAGTGCTAACGGATGTAAGAGATTATGACAAGAAAAAGGGTGAAAATAGGCACACTTAACCAAAAGCAGGAAGCCATGGCTGACTAACTTGCAAAGCACATGGGTTGGTTACAGAGGTGGGGATCAAAGGAACGATGTCATTAGAAATGGGGTCTAAAATCAAGGACCACATTTCTGACCAAAGTTGACAAACGTAATCTATGCTTTCAGTTCACCACAAAACTAAAGATGTCACACATGACAATGTTCACTATTTATCAACCTTGTGTAAAGTTGGAAGAAGGGCTGACGCCAGAATGAAGTCCTGCAATAGAAACTTTGACATCAGACCTCTATTTCTCAAAAGAAATTAACTTACTGTACAGTTATTTTAAGTTAACTGGTATCCAGATGTTTTATAAGAACATTAATGAAATGCAGGCATCTATAAACTATACACAGCACAGTATTCACTTCTCTGCCTTTTAACTTAATTACCAAATATCCTTCGGTATCCTCAAGAGTCCACAATTGGTATACACAAAGCTTTCCAGTAGAAGTAAAATTCAAAAGCAAAAACTAAAGTTGCTACAGTGATGGAGAAAACAAATCAGCTCATTACTTTAAAAAAAACTCAGTGAAAAAGCACACAATTACAGTACCTTGAATTGTTCTTCCTTTTGTTAGCTGTCTCAAACATAAAACACATCCACATGAAAACCCCTAACCAGTAACTCACCACTTTTTTTTTAAATGATGAATCATTAACTGAATACCTTCATAAAAATCCAAAAGTTTTTATAATTATTTAAACCTGGATCTCTTAACCTGTTACTAGTTGCCTTCAACTCGATTTCAACTCATTGCTACCCCACGTTACAGAGTAGAACTGTGCTTCACAGGGTTTCCTTGGCTGCTGGTTTATTCATCAGAAATCCAATTTCCAACCAGTCTTAGTTTTTAGAAATTCTTTTTTTCAATAACCATGAGTTATAGCACAAATGGAGACCTCCAAAACTAAAAAGGCTTTGTAACAACTCCTAAAATTCATGCAGCAAAGCTCTTGCAATTTACTCATT